AACTCTCTAAACCATCACCACCACTTGGATCCCAGATATGTCCTCACGTGGACAACACAGTTTGAAAGTACAGGAAGAGAGCTACAAACTGGCAGTTATTCATAATTTTAAAAATTACTCACTACTGCACTCAGCAGGCAGGGAATAGGTATTCAGACGCCCACCACAGGTCCTCAACAGATAATTCTGGGGAGATACAGCTGGGAGTTTCAAAGAGGCAGGACACTGATCACAATGCTTGTGATGACTTGCAAAGTTTCAGCCTCCCAGTATTCATCAGATAATGATATTGTGCAACTATTGTGCTATATTTCTACTGTTTGTGCTAAGCCGGAAAATCTGTTTTTTACATAAGAACCTAAGTCTATGGACTTATTTTAATTTGAATCAAATTAAGGTATCATTTCAAAACAGGCTATTCTAGAACACTAGAACTGAACTTAACTAGAATTGCTTAACTTTAAAAATGTATCTAATTTGAATTTTGCTGTTTTGAGAAAATACAGAGCTGGTTTTACATTATGAAAGAAGCAGCAGCAGCTCAGGCTTATGTTCTCCCTGCCTCCCCCTTGCATGGCCATAAGACTGAAAGTTTCCACTTTCCTTTTAAACTACTTGCATTTTAGGGTGCAATTCAATGAGACTGCCTCAAACCCTCTGAACTCTTCCTATACAAGGCAGGAGGAATACAGAGGTGAAGGTTGCCTCCACAAACCTCCCACTCTGCAACACAGTTTGTTGGCTGTCCAACTGTGGCACTTCAGAAGCAGAGAGGAGGCTGAGGCATCACCAGGGTAAGCTCTATCTTGGCAGTCCTGGCTGCTCCCTCCCTGCCCCCTGGAAAGGCCACTGAACCCCTCCTCCAATCACACTGTTACAAGAAGCAACCAAAGCAGCTGTAAGGGCAGATGGAGTTAGGACTAAAAAATCCTATGGCCCTTTAGATGATATCTAGAAGGCCACAGTATTACTCTACCCACTATTTCACATCCTAAACTGTTATTAATCTTGGTTGATTGAAACAAGCTAGCTTTGTAAAATAAGGCTGAAATGGCTTATTTTCCCTAACCAATGTTAGTAATGAAGAATTATTAATCTAAAACTGAAATAAAAGCTTCTGAGCTCCTCCTCAAGGCCACACCAGGAGAGTAAAAGTATGCAAACTCCAGACTTGCTATGGCTTGTTCTTATCACACCGAAGTACAGCGTAGTGTTATATCCAAACCCAGTCCATAGCCTTTACATGTTTTGCAAGTGAATAACTGCAAGCCTATCCCATCCCTGCAGCATTTTCATTTTTTGTTTATTTAATTTTTGGTAAACTTAACTGCACAGGCCCTTCTCAGCAGGTACACACAGGCATTCACCAAACAGATGACACTACACTACAGCATGGACAGAGCAAAGCAAGCTACAGATGAAAGAGAGAGGAAGGAATAAAATGGAATTTGTCTTGGTCTACTTGTAAAAGGAGACTGCTCAGTGCTGAAAAATGAAGGACCTTAAATTTGTGCTTGGAAATTGGAAAGTACAGTACAGCGTATGCCCAATCCATTTCAACTTGCAGCCTTTCTAGGGTTTAACATAATTCATACTGTTTCAGCATCACTTTAAGGATTTTGCTTTTTTCTTGATGAATCTTTGGTGCTTCTCCTCCTGCCCAGAGCCAAAATAGGCAGCAGTAAATGGAGAATGGATGAGGCAGAAACAGAATGCTGATTAATTTGGATTCTTCACTTTATATCACAAAGGGTATGCAAAATTTCTATTAGACTTTATTTCCCTTCTGCCACCCAATCTTCCACCATGCTGAAAACACCCATCATTACAGGACAGTCAAGAGGATTGACTAGGAACATTTATTTTATTTTAAGGGATGGGGGAAATAAAAATGAGGCTGTGTCATATCTCCAAATATTGGTGGGGTGGGGGGAGGTGGGCTACATGAACATTCATAAAGCTTGAGGCACCCAGATCCTGCATGTCCAGAATTTCAGGGTGTTTTCTTATCTGTACACCAGTACAAGTTTGGAAGTGATAAATAGGCAGTCAGTGTGGTGTAGTGGTAAAGAATGTTGGACTGGGACTCAGGAAATCTGGTTTCTTGCCCCCTTGGCCGTGAAGCTCAGCGCATGATTTTGGGCTAGTTACTAACACTCAACCTAAAATGGTTCTTGTAAGCCAGCTTGGATTCCTTGCAAGAGGGAGAAAGATGGGACATAAATGTTGCATGTTAATATACACATTAGCAAGTAAGTTTCATTAAATGTAATGGAGCTTACTTCTGATTACATATGTACAGTATACTATGCACTGTACAGGACTGCAGTGCAAGTTGCCTGTAAGCTTTTACATATCAATAGGAATAGTGAGTGTTTCAAATAAATATAACATGTGTGAAGTGTTGACCTGTTTAGATAATTGAAAGAAGTTTTGCCCCCTCTTTCAGCAAGAACAAATAGCAGAAAACTGTCTCTTCATTAGGACAATACAGTTTTCCTATTATTTATATTTGCCTTGTTCCTGGCACTTCAGTTTTTCTCCACACTCCCTGTAAAAAGTGGCCCCCTTTGAACTGCCAAAGTAGAAAATGTTCCAATTCACAACTGGATTTTCTCCATTCATTCAAAGTCATGGATGGCAATATGCACTTTAGACCCTTTTAGAAAACTGCAAGAAATAACATGCATTGTAATTTACTAGAAACGAGTCAGAAGGGGTCTCCCGGGCCATTTAGTCAGACTGTGGCTTACATTACATTTATATCCTGCCTTTTTTTTTCATTTTACAAGGAACTCTAGGCAGTTTATATAGTCCTCCTCCATCCCATTTTATTCTCACAATCACAATCTTGTGAAGTGGGTTAGGTTGAGTGTGCGTGACTCTGGGGCTTCTGGGGACTAGAACTGGATCTCTCAGATCCCCATTCCAATATTCCAACCACCACACCACACTGGCTCTCAGCATGTACTATGCCAAGTACCCAAACCGATCCAGTTATTTAAACACTCCTTTTTACACACAGAATATACATTAAGCATGAAAAATGTCACCCCTTCACCCCCAAAGGTCTTGTGGAATAATTCATAATGTCAACATCAAGTTACAGCTTACCTATTATAAACGTATTATCAATAAAACAACTACTAAGGAACTAATTAATAGTTTGAATAACTATTATATCACTCATTACCGAAATTAAATATCAAGACAACTTATCAAAGAATCAAATTATTAAAGCATTTACTATTAAAACTTCGTTCCACACAGCCTGAGGAAAAACCACCCACAGTATATCCAGAGATACTTACTACAAATGCTCTCTTTCAGGCTCTTAAGTATTCTTCACAGCCCTATCAGCATGTACATTGTTCTTAACTTCTATGTTACCATTTCTCATTTGTTCAGCCTACACACCTAGGTTATTCCACACAGAGGGTTCTAGGATCTATTGCTAATCAAAATGCACTGGGCAGTTATTCCTTCTTTTCTCTTTAGAAATAAAACCTAAAGTGGTGAAAAAATATTGGGGGGGGGGGTTTAAAATGTTAAATTATTTCACCTGGACATACACACCTATAAAATTACATGAATAAGGCACTGAGATCCCACCATAAAAACCTCATCTGGAAGCACCTCTCTTTTGGAGTGCATGCTGAAGGCTTATATTCCCTCCATGATTGTATTAACTCATTACTAGAAAAGATTAGAATTTCTCCTTTACTCAACTTGCAAAGTAACTAGGGAGATCTTATTTCCATAAGAATGAGATCACAGCAAGCCCTGACAGCCTGGGAAGAGTCCATATGCATATTCTGTTGTAGGTTCCTCATCAGCATATGTGCAAGCAAGAACAGAACCATTTATGCAAAGAGGCATCTCCAGTGTATATTCACTGCTGTGATTCTAAAGTCAGTTTCTTCTGCAACTTCCTTAATTTACACTTCCTTAAAACGTGAAGAACTCTTACCCTTAAAGTTTAAGAGAAAAATTGGTATGAAGAAAAAATCCCCACTTGCGACCCAAGCAATGTGTATGAAAGTGTTCAGGGTATTCATCAAGTCCTTTCGTAGATCTGTATGGACTGGATTATTCAAATTATCAACCACAGAACAAAAATTAACGGAAGCATGAGTGCCGGAATTAACAATAAAGGCATATGCTTGCCAGCCTCCCTAGACACCCACGCAATTAATCCGTGGGGGCCGGAGTTACCTACTAACGAAAAGACAAAGACGCCTAGAAGGGAGAACCCCCCGCCCGCCCCATCAGGCTTTTTCACCGCCCGTGCAGCCTCAGAGCAGCCGGAGCAAAGGCGCCTCGCCGCCGGCGGCAGCGCGTGGCGAGAACGCTGCAAGCGACAGCGCCCGGAGAAGCGCAGCCGAGGCGGGAATCCTTCCCTCCCTTTCTCCGTCCCTGGCATGGCGGGGAGCGACTGTGTGCGAGTGCGACGGGGAGGGGGACTCCCTAAGAGGACCCTGCCTCGTCCACACTGACGCAGCTTGCCAGGAAGGAGGAGCCTGACGGTGGCAGGGGGTGGTTCCTCCGTAACCCCCGATGGAAAGCGGAGTGGAGAGGAGGAAGGAGGAAGGCGACGAGTCAGCTGGGGACGGCAGCCCCCCTTTTCTTTTCACAATGGGCCCGTCCTCGCATGAGGCTCTGCCCAAGCAGCCTCCCCTCTCCCCCCACCCCGCGAACGAAAGTCGAGGGAGGAGAGGCGCGGCGAAGCCACCTCAGTGGTGCCTCGAGGATGCCGCCACCGCCGCCTCCCGCCCGCCCGCCCGCGCTGTCTCCTCCCGCCTCCCGCTGTCATGTTCGCTCTATTTTTAGACTCGAACGCGGCGCGTGTCAGAGCGCCCGGCCCGCCGCGCGCCTCGTGGCCCCCCGTCAGCGTGGAGCGACGGGCACGCAACCCGGGCAAGGCAGAGCAGACCGCGCGTCTCTTCGCCTTCTTCTCCCCCGTCAGCTCCGCAAGCCCCGATCTCCCCACGCGCCCTTACCCCAGCTCTTGGCGGTCCGCCCCAGAAATTCGCCGCTATTCGGATTGTAGATGAATTGCCGCCACTCAGCCATAGACTGGCGGAAGGGCTTCTTCTCCTCCTTGGCCATAGCTATCAGCGAGAGAGAGAGACTGAGCGCGAGAGGGGGGGCGGAGGAGGGCAGGAGGGGCTGCTGCTGATTCCCGGGCGGCGGTGGCGGTTCCCTGCCGAAACAACAGCGGATCCTCGAAACCGCTAAGTAACTATCCCTCAGGCGCCCGGCGGGAGAGCAGAAGAGAGGAAAGGAAAGAAGGGGCTGGGCCAGTCACACGCACTGAGAAGAGTTGCTCGCACCGCCTCTCCCCCACTCCGACTCTTACGTAACTCGCCTAGGAGCCAATCGCCGCTCGCGTCGGCTCAGCGCCCAGACGCCCACTCCGCCCCCTTGCACTGCCACCTGCCGGGCGCACGAGGGCACGGCAGGCAAGGCTGGCTGGTCCAAAGGCGTTTGCCTACATCGGCGGCGGCCGAATGGTCGGGTTTTGTATGAGGGAGTATGGATGGAGAATAACAGGGGAGCGAGTGCAAAGCCCATCTCCTCCCTCTTCTTCTTAATCATGGGTCTCAAAGGAAAGACGACACTTGCTGTCCACATGTCGGTAGACCAATGATGGCGGTGTGGCTCAGGGCTGCCCACCAGCAATCTGTAGCTTCTTGGGGTCAAAAGAAGGCCAGAGGGATGTGAGATAAATCGAGCTCTTTTTCTCACTTTGGGGGATTTCTCCTTTGCCTTGACCATATAAGGTATGAAACGTTGCAATAGTTAGGTTGAAAGAAATAGAGCTAAACTCACACATCTGAACTCAACTCTGCTTCTGAATTCAGGATATTGAGAAATTTAGCTTAAATAATAATCCGTACAGAAATTCATTGGTTGCCTTGTGTCACTTCATGCACAGCTACACAGAATATTTGCAGTACTCCTGCAAGTTTGAATTATACTTTGACAAGAAGGGTTGCCAGCTTAAATATATAATTAAGAATACTGAGTTTTCAAATTCCAACAGCACACAGAGCTATTCAGTACTTAAATCTTTTCTGGTATGAAGTACTGGAAATCTGGGTGCATGCAGAACATACCTTAATAAGCTCCCACAAGATAAATTGGGCCAGAAAATGACATTTCTGGGAAAAACTACAAACATCATGCTTTTACTAGGGAAAACTAGGATAAAACATATATCAGACCTTGACCTGATGCAATATGCAATAGTACAAACACAGAAACTGGCTGATAAATTTAATCCCAGCAACGTCTATTGGAGGAATGGGACCTGACAATTCCTGTCAAACTGTGGGGGTCACTTGTCAATCGTGTAATTGATAAAGAAGCAATGTCTTGCCCTCTCTCCCTCACAGCCAACACAAATTGCTAAGTTTAGACAGATCAATATTTTTAGCCCATTTTTGAGTATAAATCCCAGAACTCACTATCCCCTAATTTGGTTATAATAGTGGAGCACAATTTGTCAGACTCACCCTTGACATCAGGATAACTCTTCATCCATCTGATGAAGTAGCTTGGAGTCCATGAGAGCATCTTGTACTGTATTTAATGTATTACTTCAAGGTGCACTAGACTTTTTGTCTGTTGCAACAGACAAAAATGACTACCCCTCTTGGACCAGTGGGACAGAATAGGAGTAGATATCTACAGTTGTGCAATTATACAGCCATTCCATGGCAGCAATTCCTTGTCATTGCCAAAGCAGAGCCGCTCAATACTTGTCACTGAAGATGTGATCGTGCAGGATTTATAGTCATCCATTCCAAACAGATTGAGGTCCCAAGTCTGGATTGGATTATGGAGAATAATCCTGCCCTTTTTCTTGCTAAAAGACAAAGTTTGCAATCTTAGATATATTTACTGGAGAATAAGCCCAGTTGAACTCAGTTGTTCTTGGTCTTGATTAAACACGAATACGTGGCACTATGAGCTGTTTTCTTTGCCACCTACGCTAAAGAATGAATGGGATCAGTTGACTAAGCCCCTCAAAAGACTAGCATCCCCACATAGGATGATTGTAAGCCCATTCTAGCCCCTTAGATGCAGCTTGCCAGTTCCCAGTGCTGGCCTAAGACATTTTGTGTCCTGAAACAACACCAAATCCCCAATCATGCTAGGGCAATACCTTTAAAGATCTTGTTGCACTATGCAGACATCAATTCTTGTCCTCATCTAAACATTGCTGTGTGCAGTAGTCACCTTCTCCTTTCTGTCTGATAGAGCCAGTCTTGCCCTCAGATTTCTGGGAGGTTGACTGGGCTTAAATCTATTTACCCTATGTTTGACTCAAGATAATGATTACTGGTTAGAAGAAACACAACAGGGAGGCTGGTTAGAATACTGAAAACATTGCGCATTCACTCAATACGTAATAATAGCAACAACAAAATTTAAAGTTTCTGAAGTGCCTTTCTATTAGCGGCATCTGAGCAAATAAAAAGGATAGATGCATCCCTCTATCCTTAACATACAGTTAGTTACAAAGATAAATGGGCAGGCACAAAACTTATGCTTTTCTTCTCTTCCATGTTCATGGGATGGATGATGCAAATCATAATGTTCCATTCTTCCTCCAGCCAAAAATCCACACTCACTTGTTCTCTGCCCTAAAAAAGTAACCCTGAACCCCCAAAAGTATCCTCACACTTAGATTCTGTACCAGACCCCTGAGCTGTTTTACTTCAAACACTTGAAGGGGCAGTGACAATTGTTCAACACTGTATATCTCTGAGACTCATTTCCCACTCTGTAATTGAGGAAGTTTCAGCACAGATAAAAGGATGTGCTTCACACAGCACATAGTTAAATTATGAAATTCATTTGTTTTGGCAATAAATAGTAAATGTACATATCTATAGAGGAGAAGCTACAATGCAGTTGTAAAAGGGAGATGTTTGTTTATAGCTCCAGGAAGGAAACACAAAATATATTTTTCAAATTAGAGTTTCTAAAGACATGCACTCAAATATTTATTTAAATAGTTTGGCTATTTAAAAGAATAGCTATAGTCCTGGAACTACTATGTTCTTCTGGAACTAACACTAAAAATATTAACAAATTCATCTCTTTTTCTTCCTTTACAATATTACAAAGACTTTTTCATAGAGGAGATTTAGAGGTTTACCTCAGGTCAAATGCACTACAAGATGTTAATTTTCTATGTACTCTTATAACTGGAAAACTATATAGCTTTTCAATCAGCAACACCGAATATAAGGTTGAGACAAAGCTGGCTTAAATATAATTAATCAAACTCTCATTACCATTTTCTCTTTGCTCCCATGTGAAAAATAAAGAAGGAATCTCTTGAGGAGAAACATATAGTAAATATCTGAAAATATAAATTGAAACTTACATGTAGGTCTGCTTTACCAGTGTTTAACTGGTAAAAAGACTGAAACTGCCAACACTGCAACTAAGACTTTTTATACCCTATGAGAAGTTCTGAGGAGACATGTATAGGGCTTGGTTGATATACCAATGATTGAAAGGAGGCACAGACCTAAAGATCCTGCCACCTGCACCTCAGATTCTGTGCTACATATGCAAGAGGAAGCATACCGCCAGTGGTTAAAGCATTAGTTAAAAATAAAAGGATTGTTCTACCTCCCCATTCTTGGCAAGCAGTTCTACCTGCAAAATCCCTTTTTCTCTACCAGAAAAAAAAAAGGGGGGGTCATTTTTCAGAAATGACATCAAAATACCTTGTATTTTGTAAAGTGTGATTTGTGGATGTGGCTGTCACAAGACAGAAACTGGTTTGAAAATATATTAACATTTTACCCAGCACAGGTTTCTATTTGCATTTCAGGTTCAGGGAAACCTGCTTTCAGCATCACCTATGAAAAAGGCCTTAAAGATCTCTGCCTATTCAATTGCACATTTATCTATGCACACTTAGAAGAAACTGTGCAGCTCTCTGATATGCTTTCTTGCTCCCATTGTTCTCGCATGCTCTAGATTATATGTATATGTAAACTAGGCAAATCTCAAGAATTGTGTCCTAATTAGAGGCTCAGAAAGGCACAGGTGTTGCCACAGGAATTTGTTCTCATATTCCAGGAGCTACTTAAATATTGAATACCTAAACAGTGTCAAGAAGAATGGTAAAAGAAGAACTACAGTTGGAAATTTTAATATGAACAGCATTAACAATCCCAGGTACAAGCAGTGACTAGGCATAGCGACTAGGCATTCTCCTAGCCTGCTGCTAACCTCTTCCTGACAGCAACAAACTTTTAGCTCCTTTTAATCTTCAAGAAAATTGGACATATGAAGGGAACTTTTCATGCAAAGATGGGCATGATAAAGGACCAAAATGGCAGGGACCTAACAGAGGCAGAAGAGATCAAGAAGAGATGGCAAGATTACACAGAGGAACTATGCAAGAAAGAGCTTAACGTCCCTGATAACCATGATGGGGTGGTCACTGACCTCGAGCCAGACATCCTGGAATGTGAAGTCAAATGGGCCTTAGGAAGTCTGAGCAACAACAAAGCTAGTGGAGGTGACAGTATTCCAGCTGAGCTATTCAAAATCTTAAAAGACAATGCAGTAAAAGTGCTACACTCAATATGCCAGCAACCTTGGAAAACTCAACAGTGGCCACAGGATTGGAAAAGGTCAGTTTACATTCCCATCCCAAAGAAGGGCAATGCCAAAGAATGGTCAAACTACCGCACCATTGCACTCATTTCACATGCTAGCAAAGTTATGCTCAAAATCCTACAAGCTAGGCTCCAGCAGTATGTGGACTGAGAACTACCAGAAGTACAGGCAGGATTTTGAAGAGGGAGAGGATCTAGAGATCAAATTGCCAACATACGCTGGATCATGGAGAAAACTAGGGAGTTCCAGAAAAACATCTGCTTCATTGACTATGCTAAAGCCTTTGATTGTGTGGATCACAACAAATTGTGGCAAGTTCTTAAAGAGATGGGAGTACCAGACCACCTTATTTGTCTCTTGAGAAACCTATATGTGGGTTGTCAGAATCCCGGAGTCTCAATTTGAGAAGAGGGAATAAAACTCGGGTTCATGGGAAAGACCAAGCGTCCAGACCATCTGAGGCTTTATTGTATTTGCCCCAAGGTTCCCGCGGTACTCACGATAATGCATGCCTTACCGGGCAGGCAGAGATGAACTCTGCTGCAAAACTTCAACACAACTAGAGTTTTTATACACTCCCAGTCACATACAGATACAGGGTAATTGATGACAGAATGTAGAGATTGCAATAAGATTCTGAGGTCATCACATA